GAATATATAAATCTACCACGTGGGTAACTGAATATAACATATTACACATAAAGGTTATATTTATAGTTTTATATCAGAAGCGAAACACGAATTCCTAAGAAAATACTCACGAAACTTCGCTTATTTCACAGAAACAGCTGCAGAGACACTTCCTGGAAACCAGCATTTCCCTATTCCAATGTACATGAGCTCTATATATTACGGTGACATGACGAATTGTTTGTTAATTAACTTCCAAGCAGTACACAGAAAATTAAAAATGGGAACATAATTCCGGAAAACCGTGATTGGGTCCATTTCTGGCGGAATTACTAATAAGAATCACGAACGAAAAATTATCTATAGTATTACTGGCTTTCTGGGCCTCACCTTAGTGCTTCGAGCTGAATACGACGTTTCGGAAAATTGTTCTGCTTCCGACCCAAGGTGGAAAGATGGAGAATTACCTACTCAGTACGGCCCGAAAAATAGAGCTAATCTCAACCGATTGTTATCTCAGTCTAATGGACCCAACTGTAAGCGATCATTGATTAAAACTGTCTCGGTCTATCGGACCCAACAGAATGGACCCATTTCACTTGAGGCCGGAAACGATTTCATATTCCGAAACATTGTAGACCAATTAAATTCGGAATACAGAATTAATACGATGGAGAAAGTCCCGAAACCCAGCAATAAGAAGTGCCATTTTCAGAATCTCACTCAGGCAGTACGTGTCAGGATTGCAGTCTCCTGATATATAACGCCGTGTAGTTTCGTAGATGATGCCTCCATGGCCGTGAAGGGGGAGGCATGTGGTTGCTGATAGGCGTCTGTACCGAACTGCGCGGTGTTACATCGCAGGAGACCTCAATCTTGGCCTTCAGGATTGGATTGAAACTTTGTCGGCTTACACATCAAGTTCTGCCTTTTGAACGTATGTGCGTACCTCATCCTGTTTCTTTAAAGGAGGGGCAAGATTGTAAGAGGTACGAAGAAGCTTTAGAACCGATTAAAACTATCGACGTTGCCGGTGACGATCGCTGTCCTTGATTAGCAGTGAACTTGTACCGATGCCCCGAACTCAATCGTATGATGACCTCTACCAACAACTTGCATGTTCTGCAGTTAACGCATTCCACGTGTATTCATTGCATATTAATGAGACGAATGGATAATTATTACAATATGAACTCGTAATAATTTCAATTCGTAATTAAAGCTTAGCCGATCACCTTAGACGAGCGGTCTAAGGCATGTACTGTTCACTGTTCGGTTCGAAACTCCACTCAGGGCATGAACGTTTCGTGTGTGTATACAAGTATGTTTATTCTGTGTTTAGGTAGAGGCCTTGCGACGAGCTGATCACCCGCCCAAGGAGTCCTATCGAATGTGTAAGATCTAGAAAAATCGAAGTGAACGGAGAAATTCATGGAGGTAGGCATAGGCCACTGGGGCTGTAGAGCCAAGGAAAAAAAAAGTATATTTGAGTGTAGGGTCACTCTTTAAAGAGCAGATATCGAGGAAATTAAAATAGAAAAAGGTTCTAATAATCACTATATGGTTACCGCATTAGACTGAATGTGACGCAATTCCCCGTCCCCCCAAATAACTGCTGATTAGAAAGGAGGGGTCGTATTATTTTTCGGTCCTTACGAATACAATTTCCGATCACGGTGGCCGCGAGGTCTAAGGCATGAACCGGCCTCGCTCGCTCAAATGCTGGGATCGAATCCCACTCGATGCATGGATGTGTGTGCTCGCGTTTATTCTGTGTTCATGTCCTGTTTGTAGGTAGCGGCCTTGCGACGGGCTGATCACTCGTTCAAGGAGTCCTTCCGTCCGTTTAAAACAAAATTACGAAACCGAAGAAGAGGCCAGGACCCAACAAAGGGCTATAGAGCCATTGATGAATGATGATGAAAGATAAAATTACGAGGAATTCTAAGTGATCACCCTAATGACATTGGTGACAATACTTAGAATTATATTTAAGGTACTACATTTTGAATTTGGAGCCGGGATAGCGCAGTCGGTATAGCGACTGGCTACGGGGTGGACTCGGAGTTCGAGTCCTGGTAGGGGCAAGAATTTTCTCTTCTCCACGTCGTCCAGACCGGCTCTGGGGTCCACCCAACCTCCTATCCAATGGCTACCGGGAGCTCTTTCCCGGGGGTAAAGCGGCTGGGGCGTGAAGCTGACCACTCACCTCCAACTAGTGCCGAGATCAAGAAAATGTGGATCTATACATCCACTCCCCCATACGCCTTCATGGCATAGTGCTTAATTAGATAAGCACAAGGAAAACTTTACCTTATCTTAATTTTGAATTTATTATTTGTTAATGGTATAGTTCTGGTCTCTTTTGCTAACTACCCCCAGAACTAAATGATATACCGTATTTAGGCATGTATAGGCCGCGTGCGTGTATAGGCCGCAGCACAATTTTCAGACAGAAATTATAGAAAAAATAATTTTCTTGGTATATTATTTCAGGAGTATTACACCCTGTATTACTAATTATGAATATAATTTTTTTTAATGAAGTGTGATTTCGAATATAAGCCGCACCCCAGTTTTCCTCTTGAATTTTTGGCAAAAAATGTGCGGCCTATACATGCGTAAATACGGTATTCAATTTCGCAAAAATAAAAGCTTTCATTTCCTAATTTTGCCTCTGGAAAAATAAGGGGGCGCCTTATATTCAAGCTTATACTGAATCTACTCGCGCAATCTGAAGTCTGTTTTCGAATTGCATTTTACGAACACTCAGTTAACGAATTTTCACTACAACGAAGCGCGTTAGTTTGCACCAGCTTTTCGCTTAACGAACTTCGTGCTCCCTACAACTAACAACTTAAGTTCGTGAGAGTTTTTCCTTTTTTTTCCTCCCCCCCCTTTTTTTTTTGCGAAGACGCAGAAATACATACACAGCACCTGGGGAGGTGAAGGCAAGCAGACACCCCCACCCTCGCGCCGTCTCTTCGCGCCCCTTGTGGTCATGGACAACCAGATGTGCCCTTGAGGCTTACGATTCTTTCATAAATATTTATGTTATATAACTTTTGAGCTTATGAAAGTGCCAGGTTCGAATCTCGTCCGGGTGGTTTCCATCAGTTTCTTCACATAAATGCTGAAATGTTACCATAAATTAGACTGCTGCAGCTTCCGCTCACATAATGTAAATTCATTATTTCCTCTCCTCCCACCGTTCAACGTAACAAAGCTGACCTACTCTAATCAACTACAAATGAACACAGAACAAGACACCGTTTCGACGTTTCGACTGTATGTGGCTACCAGCATTTCTGATGAGCCTGTTGCTTTTGAGGCAGGAGGTTCCTCATAGACACTGCTTAACCACCTACGAGACTAGTGTCATAGAAACAACGGGTTCGTCCGAAACCTTGATAGCCACATTCCAGACCACAAGGCACCATGACCCAGGAGACGGCTGTATACGTACGTTTTGAACACTATCAGACCCCACGTCAGTAAATACGCATCTAAGATATGTAATCATATCTCACTTTAAGTATCCAGTTCTTTCGTCAAATGGAATCTATCAACGTACATGAAAGGGTCATAATTAATCACACTTTAATTATTTCCCTATAGTTTTATTTTAAGAACAGTCTGGAGGAAGAGCGAGTGCTTTCGTTAATTATGTATGACCGCCTCTGTGGTCTAGTGGTCAGAGTTCCTGGCTACAGATCCCGGTTCGATTCCCAGCGCTACCAGATTTTCTGAGAAGTAGTGGGTTTGGAAAGGGGTCCATTCAGCCTCGTGAAGATAATTGAGGAGATACTTCAAGAAAATAGCGGCTCCGGTCTAGGAAACCGAAATTAACGGCCGTGGGGATTCGTTGCGCTGACCACGCGACACCCTCTATCCGCTAAAGTTGTCACTAACTTCGCCGACAAGCGGCGGTCGCTCGGTCGGTATAGTTCGCTTGCGGACTAAAACCACGGAGTTGGGTTATGTATGTCCACTAAATGGATTTTGGTGCTGACATAAGGAAGATGACAGCATCATATTTTTTCCCCCCCTTGGCGCCACAGCCCCAATTTGGGCCTTGGCCTACCTCCATGAAACTCTCCATTTCAATTCGGTTTACTAGATCTTAGACATTCGGTAGGACTCCTTGGGCGGGTGATCAGCTCGTCACAAGGCCTTTACCTGTACACAAACACAGAAAATCGAGCACACACACACACACACTAAACATCCATGTCCTGAGTGGGATTCGAACCCACGATCCCGGCTTCTGAGTGAGCGAAGACAGTGCTACCGTGACCAGCGCCAGCATCGCATAGGCCTAATAAAAAGTCCCCCATGGACTTTCCTTTGGGGGAAATAACAGTAGTCTTATCAGCTGGCGATGAATTTCCCCTCATATTATAAAATCTGAAGGTTTAATATCATGCTCACAAGAGTCCGCCAATGAGACATGTTTTGAGATAGACTAAGCCAGTCCACATAATTCTGTGTAAAAAAAAGAGTAAGTAAAGGTATCCCTGTAACAGGCCGTGAAGGCCCATAGGGTTGTGAGATGTTGAGGCTCCCACATCTAGACAATTGGCTCGTAGATGGTGGTGAGGTCAGCCTTACGTGCTGGCTGCCCTTTACCCCCAAGAATATTCCAGTTACAAAGCTATATTAACTGCTGAGGGGTTTGTTGCATCAAATCAATATAGAAGAGTAATGAGTCTTCCTCTTCCTCGTCCTCTTGCTTGTTTATCATGTGTTGAACTACAGGACATGTTACATCTGCAACAAGTTGCACATTAGTGATCAGAGCATGTAAAAGTCAAATTGCTGAAAATCTTTAAGGTCAATGGGCCATCAGATTTGAAGAATGTGGTTTAATGAAAACCACGACAAACTAGCGGGATAGAGAGTGCCAGATGGAACTGGAAAAGTACATATCCGGGAACAATAATAGTTTCAGTATGACTCCTCAGGTTGGGTACTTTAAAATGTATCCTGTTAATTGATAACTTCTAACTCATAACACAGCAGACTGGCCAAGGGCTGTGAAACAACAGCCCTATGTTTATTATTCATGTTACAACCAATAAGCATTTACAGAGATATAAGGAAATAACACTGAAAAGGAACATATTAAGAACCAGTGTATTATAACTGCCATATTTTAAAAATGTTAATATTCGTTGCTGCATATTATCACCTTTCCTGTCCTTTATGCTTATTTGTTTCCCTAGATAAGTTAAAAACGCAAGTAATATTTTAAAAATAAATTATTGCAATATATGACACAATGCTGAAAATAAATATATGAAACAGATTTAGAAACTATGCAAAAATAATTCTTTACAACACATTTCTATTAAAAATAAATCAAACTTGAACATGCAAAATTGTAGAGTAGATTAATTTAAGGACTGGAATCAAGTTCTATGACTGAACTTTTATTTCCAGTTATTCTGACAACATAGGAATGCCAGTTATACAGTTGGTCATACATTCTTTTAATAAAGTGAAAGATGAGTTAAAGTGTAGATTATGACAAGTGCTTTGTTCCTGGCTGTACATAACATTTTAAACTGTGGTCCCTTGTTTTTAAGAAATTAACAGATTGTAGGAAGATAAAAATGAGACTGCTGTTTTCTTCAGCATCATAAGGTTCATCTCAAATGTTGTAAAAACAGATCAGCTGATTCAAAAGCTGGAAAGGAAGACACATAGGCACACACAAATAATGCCACTTTCCCCCAGAAAATAACACTGATTACTACTGTGTTATTTCGCAACATTTTTCCACCACATGTAACAATGCTAAGTTTGGGGCATGGCTAGTTATTACAGAGATGAGATGTTTTTATGTTTAATGTGCAATATCACTCTGATATCAGAATACCATTTGTCTGCTTGGAAGTATAAAGCAGAATTCACATAAACTGCTTTTACAGGAATTTTCCTAGCTGATCAAACATGTATTTTTACTGTAGTTTCAATACGAACATAGTATTACATAACTTAAAACATGTGATAGATGTATTATACATAACTAATGGATTTCAATGGAATACAGTATATAAATCAGGAAAATATAATAGCTTTGCAATGTAAAGTAATAAAAACTTACATCGTAAAAATTGAAATTATTTAGTGGAAAATGTTCCATATGGAATCCCAAAATGAAAGTAAAATATCTGTTTGCATCCCATGAAAATAAATAACAGAGAATATGGAAAGTAAGGGTGAAGAACATAAGTCGGGTGAACAATGGAAGAGCAGACAAGCTCATAAAGGAACTACATAATATATGAATGTTTTACCCCTGTCTTATGCTCCAGTTCATGTGATAACTAGTTTTATTTCTTTAATCTTTCTTTCACCAAAATATTTTTGATTCTTTGTGCTTGTAATTATACACAGAGGGTATTTTTCATAGAAGAGTTTCTTTTGTCAGAAATAGAGTCCATATATCTTTCGTTCAACAGACATTATTTGTTCGAAACTTCTACGCCATATTAATGTTATTTGTTTCTTCTATTGGAACAAATCATGTCATATAGAAATTAAAGATTAATGAATGTTTAACATGAGAACCATGATATGTTGTGTAGCAGTACTAACAATTGAATGAAAGCTATTAAACTGTGGAGTGTAGCAAAATGACAAAGAGGTGGGTTAATTGAAGTTGGCTTATTTTGAAGAACATTAAGATACTAGAAATATTTGGCTAGTGGCTGAAAAATGTGAAGATTAACAGCCAAAAATCCAAACAATAAGCATTCATTTAAATACATTAAATGTTTAATATAAACTTAAATAGTATGATTTATTTCAACAGAAGTATTTTTCACTATTACTTTCCCTCTGTTTAATAAATCACTTCAGAATTCAAAAAGCCTAACAAAATAAAGAAAATAATGAAACTATTTATGCCTTTACTTGAGGTTTCTGCTTAGCATGAACATAATGCCCACGTGTGGCTGTTCAGTTACTGGATTTATTTTGTTCCTTAATCCTGTCATAACTGTGTCTTTGTGCTCAAACAGTGGTCAGCTTCCAGGCAATACTGCATCAGAATCAAATACATCTTAATTTTAAACAAACACTTCAACTTTACTGTTTACTGCTTCCCTAAGGAACTTCTTATTTCATCTTCCTGATTATCTTCTTCATTCATCTGATACTCGGTTAGATCCAGTATACACATTTTGCTGACCGTTAACCCATTTTCAATCTGAAAAGAATGAACAAAAGTAACATGTACATGTGATAAAGTGGCAAAGAACAAGTGGGGAATCTCTGCATAATACAATGCTCCTGAAAAGAATGAGACAGACTGCAACATGCCATTTAGGGTGTGGCATAGTTGAAATACACAAGTATAGGAAACAATGCACAATGTTAATTTCCAAACACTTACCACTCTTTTATTATCTTCAGTCCAGTTGGCCACTTTAAGTGGCCGATACTAACACTGAAAGCCGTAACTTATGTCAGTTTCAGCGGAATCTGAATTCAGGAGATTTTACATAATTCTTCACTCATAATACAGTGCGTTCAGTTAAGGAGGAAACTTCGCAACAGCGCTGACCCGGCCCAACATTCCTCACAGATTGCTACTGTAACTGTTCATAGCAGAATGTCATTAGCGCAGATAAACTTGCGCCGTTACAGTTACAGGAGAAATCTGTGAGGAATATTGGGCCCCATCAACAGTGTTGCGAAGTTTCTTCCTTGATTGAACACCCTGTATTAGTAATGTGATGAAGACTAGCACTCTGGACCACAGACATCTGACGAGTATTACACTCTTTTGAACAGTCTATAGAAAATGGCATTTTCATTCAGTTGTTGACCCCATTCATCTAAACGTTACACTTACCAAATGCTTCCCAATACATGAAACATCTTTCATTCTGACTCACTTTTCAGGAGAAAATTTTATTAATTCTAGCACTTCCCTTATAATTGTTACTGAATGTTGTCATTATATTTGTCAGTAACAATGCAAAAGGTAGAGAACACTTGCTGTTCTGCTTCCTCTGCAATTATGAAGCTGTTGAGCTCCCAAACTATTTCTGACCGGTAGTAGTGAAAGTGGTCATGATGGTGGTAGTAACATTAGTGATGGCAGTCACAGCAGCGGAGGTAATAGTACTAGTAGCAGTGGTTATAGTGTGTTAGAAGTGACAGCAATAGTAATATCCAGATGAGTGGTTGCAGTAATAGTAGTAATCATAATGACAGTAGTAGTAAGTGTGGTAGCAGTAGTGGTGATGTATCTTCACGGCCTCCCACACCGAACAGCCTAACAACTGACTCTGTCCCTTGCTTATAACATCTCGGCACACAGCACGTAGAAACACCCCACTGCCAAGTGTAACTCTAATTTTACATGCATATTCATTGCCATAGGAACATGTTTACTGAGCCGTTGCCCAGAAATTGTCATTCTTTACAGAGTCATTGCTTAGCAACAGGTCTATACATCACAGTACTGTTACTGTTGAGATTAAACTCCCATATAAAATATAGTTTTCCATCTGAAGTGGAAGTGCTATAGGCAATGTATACTTTTAGAATAAAACAAAATACATATTGACAGAAAGCTGCTTTTACACAGACATTCATGAAGGATGTAATATTTACATCTGAGATTAAGAGAAGCATAGTTCAGAGAATGATCTCCATCTGAACTCAACCTACCTCTTTCACTATGCCTATGACATCATCTGCTACTGTAGCGTAGGCACTTCGATTACGGTGTGTAATAATAATTATCTGCAAATGAATATTCTGCTTCAGAAATTCTGCAAATTTTGAGACATTTCTCTGATCAAGAGATCCATCCGGCTCATCGAGGATTATTATTGGTGCCTTCCTATACCTGTAAAGAACATCAACACAGAAGTGTGATTTGATTTTCTGTTGGAGTGACAACAAGGATTGTGGTCTTCAGGGTTATAATGTCATCTAGTTTTGTAGATGGTTACCAGAGTTTCAGGGGAGTCTGCTGCCTCTATCTTCAAGATGGAGGACTAAAGCAGGAAGTTGCTTCAAACATGTCAGTAACTACCAATAGAATGACACAGAATCCTAATCCAGAAGACCATAATCTGAAAACACAGTAGCTTTCTTTGTTACACAGTGAAGAAACTTGATAAAGATGACTGTTTGAAACGGATTCTTCCCAAATTCATTCATTCATTCATTTACAGAATTTGAGATATACCAGAACTCAATTTTTTATCCTGCAAAATAAACCAAAACAGCATAGAAGCATGTTATTTCTATGCATTATACATTTTAAAACCTGAACCATTGTCAAAATTTTCTGAAAACTTGTATGAGGTACTCCTACTGAAAACTGTTACACTTTGTGAATCTGGTTGATCAGAAATTATATTTTTTCTCTAAAACTGACAACTTTCATATTTATCTTTGTGTACTATGCATCAATTGGTTGTGAAATACACGTAGTTTTGATGATAATGTAGTGCCTTCTCACTGGAGACACTCAAGTTTCAACAGAGATGACTCCATGTGAGATTTAAGCTGGATGAAATGGCACTGGAGCAGATGTTTTAAAAAGAATTTCTTCAGTCCTCCCCTATTAATCATCTTTCCATCATTGCTCCATATTGTTCTGTCACCTCATCCTGATCAGGCAATATATTATCTCCTCCTCAGTCTTTAAGTTGGGGTCATCATCTCTGACATCAACACTTCGTTGGATACAGAGTAAAGAAGTTTTAATATGCATCAATTCTAACCTCTTCCAAATCAGCTGTTTTGCAAGTAACATTGGATAATATGGCTCTTTGACTTTTAGTGAGAGTAAAAGGATTACTCAGATGATTTTAGGAAGAGTCAAGAATAAACTGCGTACATGCAGGACTGCAATTCTGTAATTTTTTTTTTGGGCACTACAGCCCCATTTGGGCCTTGCCCTACCTCCATGAAACTCTCCATTTCACTTCAGTTTACTATATCTTGAACATTCGGTAGGACTCCTTAGGCGGGTGATCAGCTCATCACAAGGCCTCTACCAGTACACAAACACAGAAAAATGCATGCGCGCACACACAGACACACGCTAAACATCAATGACCTGCATGAATTTGAACCCACGATCCCGGCTTCTGAGTGAGCGAAGACAGTGGATGCTTTAGACGGCTCGGCTACTGTAACAGGCTCCATAAATGTTACAGATGATTAAAAAAAGGTGTTAATGAGAGAACAAGATCACAAGAAACCACAATTCTTTGAAATATATGTATATATTTTCGCATGTTTTTGTACTATCATTGTCTTAAGAAATATCCTCCCCTTGATATTGTTTGTATACAATACCTGTTTAGAGCAAACATGAAAGCCAAGCTTGCCATTGCAGCCTCACCACCAGAAAGACAATCCATCGCAACACATCTCTTGTGTGGAACTTGTACACTGTACCTCACACCTGCAAGATAGGGCTCTTCTGGATTCTCTAATGTCAGCAGAGCTGCTCCATTCTGAGCCTCATAGAGCTCCTGTGTAAGGAAAATTGAAATATATGTGCTTGGTGATACTCAGTAATTCAGATAACTGGTGGCACCCTAATGGAAAGCTGCTTCATTACATCTTGCACAGCAGACAGACAGACAGCTATCACAATTAGCCCACAGGAAATAATTTTAGTTTCTTTTATTTCAGTGTTTGTAACAGATGGAGTAACCCATAGGTCATATGAATGCAGTTCTTGTAAAACTCAATGTTAGTATGCACTCCATCATGAACATGTTAATAAACAAATATCCAAGGAATTCACATTTCATGAATATATATGAATAATGGAAGTATTACATGGCAACCTTCCAGTAGTTCCAAAACATGGTGAGTGACATTTCACTTTAATTAATACAGTAATAACATTCATTCTGTTAAGATTTTCTTTTATATCCTAAACCTAAGCTTTGATGGTTGATAACTAAAATAAATATAAGAAAATGTGAGGGAACATTATAAAACCATAAATTATATGTACATAGTTAAATTGCAGAGATTTGAATGACTGCCTGTCTGAATATAAAGTATTCAAGATTACATACTTGAAAAGTTACCTTATAGATGTCATCAACCTGTGTTTCCAGGGAACTGAAACATTCCATGAATTTTCGAGTACGATCCTCTCTGATTTTCTTAAATTTGTGCCCATCATGACGCAGAATCTTCACTGTTGATTCAACTTCTGAATAGATCTCCTTTAGTGACAACTGTATAGCATCAAATTCTTCAACCACCTAGATCATCATCGGACAGTTTTAATGCAATATTAAAGTTCAAATCTCTATATTTCAGATCAGAAAAAATCTCTAATGCAAAATTATTTAATATATTTTGGCTATTTATAAAATTCCAGGACTGATATTAGTGTGTTAACCTTATAAGGCTGAATATCTAATGTACTGACATGTGAGTATCTTGTAAATTGGCCAAATGTCCAATACAGTGATGGTCCCACATCATTTTACTGCGGAGCCCTTCTGGGGCCACACATGAATGATTAGCCAGAACAAAGCATGTCATACTGTTCCGCAAAGTTCCAGGGTATCCTTACATCAACAGTCCATGAATCATATTTATTTTACTTTGTAAGGGGCTGTTCTATTCAATTGCTACAATTTACTGAATCCATCCAGCACAGATATCTTTGTTCTTACATGCTCTTCAGCATATGCAATAGTGGAATTGTTTTTTGAACCAGATAACACATGTGGGGGAAATAAAATATGTACCAGGAAGTGAAGTAATACTTATGATTAGATGTTCAATGGCAGATTGTTATCTATAATTTTCTTTGTTCATGTCCTTATGAAGCAGTCTTACAAATGCAGCATCGTTCATTGCATGGTTGAATATTTAATACTAAATCAAATACAGGATCATTCCTTGTGCCACTCTGTACTAAAAATCTCCTCATATCTTATGTCACTTGAGTGTGTCTTACCTGGAAATGGTAAAGAGCAATAAGAACAACTTCTGGGGACAAGAAGAAGGAACTTCATTGATGCTGGTATGCATGAAACTTCGTACTAGTACTGGCAAATAGTAAGACTAAAGAATAAATAATGATAGAACTGACAACCGTTCAAGTAACACTGAGTTAAAAAGAGAAATGTGGGTTTACAAGAGTATGAAAATACAGACCATGTAACAGCCACAAAATGTTACCTTCATATTAGGTTTCTTAGTCCTAATTTTTAACATTGTATCTTCAATATTTAAGCCCAATTCTTTCACTGCTTTCTTCACATCACTTGCTTCTTTAAGGCTGTCTGAAAGTTGACTATAATCAATTACAATCCTGGAAGTGAAAAAGACTGTATGATCTTCAAATCACTAGCAGGAAATGAATCTGGTGAAGTAGATTTACTTATATATTCGTTCATGGAACACACTTTTTTGTATGTAATGTTTAAGCTTAATAACTTGTACTCTTCTCCAAGTATAATTAGAATGATCAAGTCAAGGAGGATGAGGTGGGCAGGGCATGTAACACAAATGGGGGAGATGAGGAATGCGTATAGGATATTGGTTGGAAAGGCACAAAGAGACCACTGGGGAGACCAAGATGTAGGTGGGTGGACAATATTAAAATGGATCTTAGAGGGATGGGATGGATTGGATTGATCTGGCTCAGGATAGAGGCCACTGGAGGGCTCTTGTGAGCATGGTAATGAACCTTTGGGTTCCTTGAAATGCTGAAAAATTCTTGAGTGGCTGCAGAATTGGCGGCTCGTCAAGAAGGGCTCAGCTCCATCAGTAAGTAAGTATGTAAGTAATGTTTAATGGTATGTCTGCCACAGTTAAAATTATTCTCTTTAACGTCTGTTAGTCAGGAAGATGATTTCATAAAGAGATGGTATTAGTTACTGCCTTTTTAACATACTGGTGACCGACTTTTGCCACTCCTTACTTTAGTAGAACCCCTGGTGTTTGAAATGGTAACGATGAGTAATGTTTCCTTCACTTCAGTTTGACTAAGACTGTACATATTTTAGTCTGTTTCAAAACTCCAATCATTCAAATTTTCATCTGAAGTTTAGTTTGGTAGGAAGGTACAATGTCTACATCCTTTGTCACCTGGGAGTAAAATTTATGAGGGGCAGTTCACTCTGCCCATCCACTGTCCCTACTCTGTGGCTTTAGTCTGCAAGCGAGCTATACTGACTGCGCGATCTCCGCTTGTCGGCGAAGTTAGTGCCAACTTTAGTGGATAGAGGGTGTCGAATGATCAGCGTGGATCCCCACGGCCGTTAATTTTGGTTTTCTAGACCGGACACTGTCCCTACAGTACTTTTATTTACTGCATTAACCAAAAAAAGAACTGTATTTTCGATGCTGTTTCTTGGCTCCTGTAGATATTGTTAACTCATTATTTATTTATTTTTACAAGGTGTGATATAGAGTCTCCCAATAAAACAGAGACTAGATGAGATGTGCTGCAAAATCAGTACTTCACAAATTGTTCTAATCTAATTTCCATGTTAATATGTGTTTAACTGGCATTATTGAGTGTATATTTGAAATTAATAAGTGTATTCATTTTTAGGAAGTAAAGTTTTGTAACTGAAGTAAAAACTTTATGTTAACTTACAATTTTAACATATATTTATTTCTTATTTCTTTTTTATGGCATTCTTAAACAAGTACATCTATGGTTCTGATATTTATGTTGAAGAATGTCAGTTAAATATGTCTTAGCATCGATTAGAATAGATTTACAACTGTGGATATGATTTCACTTTTTATTAGCAGATTTTGTATATAAAATTTTGTTAGTCAAAATAAAAGCTGCAGATTAAGGATGCTCAATTCAGAGTTATTGGTTGAATTGGTTGAATAGATGTTGAGGAGATAAAATTGCTTTACGGCATTTACTTGATCAAACTGTAAGGAACTTAAAAAATCCTCTGTCAGTTGAGAAAGTACAACCAACCATACCGTCTCTCATCTTGTTCCACTCCCTGTGAGGTAGAAGAGCTTTCATTCAGTGAAGATGGTTCTGATTCATGAATGTCAGCCATTGTCCCACGTCTCATAGGAATATTCAGTCCCTGAACCTGAGGAGAAATAAATAACCAATATCATTAAACAGAATATGGTTCTAGACCTTAATTTGCAACCACTCTGCTCAACTGTATTCATCACAGCTTTTTACATAGATTTAAGTGTCTCAATTTTGGTATATTTTCCAAGTTTTAATTATAATTTTACAGTTTTAATGATAGAACTATTAAATATCATTAACATCTAATTAAATGGAAGGATTAAAGATAACAAAAGCTACTTGTATTTTGGTTTGACGGAGAAGGTTCATAATCCTAAACAAGACTAGACTCCAGTTATCTTNGCAACCACTCTGCTCAACTGTATTCATCACAGCTTTTTACATAGATTTAAGTGTCTGAATTTTGGTATATTTTCCAAGTTTTAATCATAATTTTACAGTTTTAATGATAGAACTATTAAATATCACTAGCATCTAATTAAATGGAAGGATTAAAGATAACAAAAGCTACTTGTATTTTGGTTTGAGGGAGAAGGTTCATAATCCTAAACAAGACTACACTCCAGTTATCTTTTACTGGCAAATTATGTGACCTGAAAAAAATATTTAAATGGTTGTAAACTGAACTGTTTACATCACCTCAACACAGAAATTATATAAATGGAGAATATTTGTCTCATATTGCTAGCCTTAATATTAGAAAAGCTTGTGTACAGCATTTAGAAAATTCAGTTTTCGTTAATTGTGAGTCAAAAATAGTTAAAACTAATTATTATGGTAGTAAAAACTTGTAATATGCATTGCTCAGAATGCTCAAATCTACTGTACATAGCAGGAGGTACTTCATGAGTATGTGTATAGTTTCCATGCACTGATATAACTGGCAGTTCTCTTAGAAACTGTGCCATCTGAAGGAGAAATATGTAACTTAATTCACTGTTTTAATAGAGAAAGGACTTAATTAGATAAGTGCATGAAAGAAATAACTGAAAGGGGAAAGAAAAGTACAGCTCTTATACTATCTATGTGTTCTTTGTTTAAGACGAAAAAAAATAACCCATGGGTGTAAATTCAGGAGCCCCCCCCCCAATGAAATTTTGTGTGTTGATTATGATATTGAAGATCACTCTAGCTTTGCAGTCTTAAAATTGTCTGTAATTAGCAGGCACACACACACTTGTGAGATGGGAGTGACACCAGTGCCACAGCCTATGTGTATTAATGATGGTAAACATAATTATATTAATCATATTATCAGTATGGATTATGGTAATGATAATAACCACAATTTCAGCTGAAAGAAAAGGAAGATAGCAATGAACTGTACAGCTTTAGGAAATGTAGCTGTACATGTAAGGAGAAAGGAAAGAGACCACTGGGAAGACCAAGGCATAGGTGGGTGGACAATATTAAAATGGGTCATAGGGTTGAAAGTAACAGCAGATACAGAAAGTACAAAGAATCAGCTCATATGGCATGTTCAACCAATCCGATCAGCCAACCCAGTTTGGATATTTCTCCCATATGGATTCCCCTCATCAATGAAGAGGTTAACAAATCAAAAATGTAAGTTTTTATGAACATTAGTGGCTTCCACTACCTCTGCAACTTTTGCTCCGGGGATTAGTCTGATTCCCAGAAGTCGCCCAGATGGCACGATTCTTTATTCACACAGATAAGGCATGCATTATACAAGGTTTAGTTTCGTTTTTAACTCAATTCCTGGAATTTAATCTATACTTCTGTTTTTTACATTGTTGACATGTGCATGCCTGGCACAAATTTCTATCATGTCTTTTCCTGTGATTTTATTCTTATCTCCCACTTATGGAACCGGTTGTCGGTTGTTCATAGGTTGTTATCTACAGACCATGTTTGGCCCCATGATTGAGAAAATCTTTCTCTGCTCTAGTGGGCCTGATTTTTTCCTACATCCCGGGATTTGCTCAATGATTGAAACCTGGCTCTTTCTAAGGGGCCCAGTTTTTTCCATACATCCCCGGATTTGCCCAGTGATTGAGACTAGCTCTCTCTAATGGGCCCAGCTAAGTAGGTTTATTCTTTCTTACCCATGTGAACATGGAGGCTAAACGTCGTGGTCTTTTACATACCAAACGATGGGTAACTCCATTGGGTTTTGAGCCTGCGACCTTGGGGCTTCTAGCAGAGTGCCTCAACCAACTACAAGTAAGTTATAAGTTTAGGACCCAACTGTGAATACAGGTTCTATCATTTAACCTAAAATAATATTCATTTTTGAAGTCTACAGATTTCTGCCTCTCCAGTTTCACATTGCTGAGCTCTCAGAAATTCTGTTTAAATTTTATGATACAAAGTGCAAAAATTTTTGTGCTGGTGATTGTGCTATATATACCTCAAGACTTCTGCTGGCCTATATTGAGCCTGTTTAACTTGAGTTTTGTTAGCAAATTCTTTAATGCTGTTTCTGCTCATCTTTTCTCCAAATTCTTAACCACTTTACAGGCTCACTCTAGTCTGTTCTTAAGTAATTTTATACTGGAGTTTATAAAGATTGATCCACTCTCAATGTCATCCAGGAACATGAGCCATGAACATTGATGTGCCTCTAACCACTGCCCCCCCAAACACACACAGATACATATTCGTCATAAAGGTGAAAAGTTACCTTGCACTGCACTAGGAGATTACGATGTTCATATTTCAGATTTTCAATCCTCAGTCTTACATTATTTAGTTGCGAGGTCCCCTCCTTTATATCATCTGCGAGTCTCTTAGCATCATCTTGGGCCTGCAAGCAAGATCATCAACCAACTCTACATAAACAGTTCTATCTTCTGGAATATAACACTGTGTGGTCCACTGGAAGTGAACTCATGTTTCGGATGAATATTTCTCCTCCATCTTCATGGTTGAAGAAAAAGCGAAGCAAGAAACTAGCATGGATGAAGTAGCAAGAAGATCTGGTTTTATGCTTGACTTATTCTTCAGCCCTAAAGATGGTGGTGACATGTTCCTCCAAATCATCAGTTGGCTTTCAGTGGACTACATTGTATTGTATCTCAGAAGATAGAAATCTTCATAATCACTGCTGTGAAAACTTCAAATCCTATAAACTGCAAATTTGCCTCCTACTTTAAACGTAACTATAATAGTGGCATATCTTAGTAGATGTGGTAGATTAGGCAAGTGGAAGTGAAGTCTGAGTGGAGTGTAACAAAAGTGTCTTTATACATTCTGTGAAAAAAATACATACATACTTAGACTGATGTGAAATTCAGGGTACTTCTCCTTTTAAGACATAAGCAGCAGATCTGTCCAAAATCCTGGCATCATCCTGTCAGATTACGCAGTATCATAACCCAGAAGTTCACAATCTCTACACATTTTGATATTCTTAGATTAAACATCCATTTACTTACTGTTTAGAACTGTATCCATTTTACTACTGGAACTAGTTCCTTTGCATTATTGATCATTAAACTGTGTTCATTATCACATGCAGATCATCTAAAAGGCAATACATCAGCTATGTTGTCTTCCAGTAGCGGAATGTGACATTTTCAGAAGTGCTGGCAAATCCCGAGGCAGAGTGAAGTCACAGAAATCCTGGCATTTTAGTATATATGTCATCATTCAAGCCAACTAAATTAATTAAGTGAGGGATAAAAATATTACAAAAAATGATGACTGCTGAGCTTGCCTTTTGTTATTGCAGGTTATACTAGTGTTGCACGCAATAGTTTTTTTGTTTTTCAGTGAAAATGTCCATTACAAAGCCACAAAATTTCAGGTCTTTTTCTGTGTCCTGAAGAATTTTCCTCTCAGTTGTCATTAATGATAACTTAGTGAGAGTGTTAATGAGACTCTTCTCAGTCTGAATGCTGCGTAGATTAAGTATGGACCTTCATCAGAGCAGAGTATGTCTGCTTGACAGGTGTTCTGGTTGGTGAAATCATTACTAACAAGGGAGATAACATCAGCCACCATGTTTATATTACATTACATTAAATTATATGGATCCAAAGTTAGTCAAAATGACTGTAGGATGTGGAATATGTCATATAAATATAAAACATATGTAGTCCCAATAGACTTCCCACACAAGAGAAACCAAGAATACACAGTGACTACACACAAGGCTATTTAAAGACACATAAGTTATTTTCTAGACAGTGGGAATTCATCAACAGAGTACAATGAATGTGTATTTAAGTATCATTTCAGTGCTATTTTAAATCATGCCTTTACATTCATAAGACCTTTGAAATCAGATGGCAGGTTATTAAAAATTTTGATCCCAGCATATGCTGAGTTTCTCACAGCTGTGCCTATGAGCAATAGTTCTCCTGAGATGTGATGCCCTACAGTCTAATAGATATTTATTAGTGTTCCTCCAAAATATCAGTAAGCTTCTACAGGATTATATAGCTTCACATCCTAGAAGATAGTACTCTAAATAAACAATTAAATAACTTAATAGGTTAATAAAATATAAAAGTGAAGTACAAGTGTAATAACACATCTGGAATTTAGTATACTGTAGGCTATGTTCAGGTTTTGAGAGCTCAATTTGACATATCTTTTTAAGCCTCAATTTGATAAAATGAATAAATATAACACCTTGACTCTTTCCTTTTCAGTAGAAAAACGTTTTGTCTTCAAAGTCTGTAGATTTAGTTTCAAATCTTTTAATTTTTGTGAGTGATTTATTTTGTCCTCTTCAGCTTGCTGTACATGAAGTTTTGCTGTTTCGAGTTCAGCTTTTAGTTCATTCAATTCCTGCTCCTTCTTCAAGGTGCCAGTTTCTGAAAATCAGCATGGATTCAATTTAACTTTTCAAAGATGGACTATCCAAGAAGGCAGGACAAGATTTAAAGCTGACATCTTTCTCACTGTTTTTTTTTGTGGCCTATTAAGGCCTCTTGATTGCAGTTCCTTTGATTTATTCAAGGTTTTACTCAACGTCATTTTGAAGCTAACATAAGACTTAATATGAATGAAAACCACAACCTTACAATGTTAGTAATTCTTCTCATGGGTTCAGGAAGTCACCAGTTACTTCACTACCAATATTTTACAGAATGAAATGATGAGAGTCAACATAAAGTTATTTTCAGTATTTTCCTCATGCTCTGAACTTTTAAATATCTTAAAACATTAAGAAGTTTCTATTAATGTTACAAAGATGGTATATCCCCATTTATTCCAGAAAATCCATACATTTTGAAGTACAAATTGCTTAGTCTAGTTTTATATATTTTTTAATATTATGAATAAAATTCTGAGATTGTCAAAGAGGTGAATATTACTAAGCTTACAGTCTTCTGGGATCTGGTACTGTGTACACTGGTAAATAGGTTCCAATATTTGGGGCAGATGGCATTTCTATTAACCTGAAGAATGGAGCACTGGTATTTATCTACCAGACTACATGGTGTCACATCCCAGAAGACAATACACTTCATTTCTCTATACCACTTTCAAAGTAGATATTTTCAACACCTTTTATTTTGCTCACCATGTTGATAAACACTGGATAAAGATAAAAAATGTCCCTGAAGTACTGTAAGGCAGGCAGTCATATCAACACAAAAGAAACTGCGCTATTTCAGGGACTATCTCTGTTTCAGCCATTAGGGAGTGA